GTTTGTATGTGGTGCTGAGGATCGAACCCAGGCCGCACGCATGCCAGGCAAGCACGCTACCGCTTGAGCCACATCCCCAGCCCGGGATTAGCTCTTTAAATGTTTTGTAAAATCCAGCTGTAAAGTCATTAAGGTTCTGAACTTTTTTAGATAGGAGATATTTAACTCCCATTTCAATCTTATTATTAGTCTATTTAGGCTTTTCTATTTATTATAGATTCAATTTTGATAGCTTATATGTACTCAGGAATTTATCCATTTCTTTTGGGTTTTTCAGCTTTTTAGCATTTAATTGTTCATAGTAGCTTTTAACATCCTCTGTATTTCTCTGGTTTTAGTTGTAATATCTCCTTTTCACCTCTAATTTTATTTATTTGGATCTTCTCTTTTTCTTGATTAGTATAGCTAAATGTTTGTCCATTTTGTTTAATCCTTGCAAAAACTCAACTTTGTTTCATTCAAATGTTTTGTACATTTTTTATATTTGCTCTTACTTATTTATGCTTTGATCTGTATTATTTCTTCCCTTCTATCAATTTTGGTTTGATATGTTCTTACTTTTCTTTTTTTTWAAATATTTATTTTTTAGTTTTAGGTGGACACAATATCTTTATTTTGTTTTATGTGGTGCTGAGAATCGAAACCAGTGCCTCATGTATGAAGGCTAGCACACCACCACTTGAGGCATATCCCCAGCCCTGTTCTTCTTTTCTAAGGCTTTTAGATGCATTGTTAGGCTGTTTATATGAGATCTTTCTATTTTTATAATGTATGTATTTATTGTTATAAACTTCTGTCTCTTGGGGCTGGGGTTGTGGCTCAGCAGCAGAGCACTCGCCTCGCATGYGCGGGACCCTGGGTTTGATCCTCAGCACCACATAAAAATAAATAAATGAGATACTGTGTCCAACTACAACTAARAAATAAATATAAAAAGAAAACTTATCTCTCATTACTTCTTTTGCTGTTTCCCACAGATTTTGGTTTGTGTGTTATCATTTTCAGTGGTTGCTAGATATTTTTAAATTCCCCTTTATTTCTTCAATCACTCATTCCTCATTTAGCGTATTGGACTCTGGAGTGAAGCTATATGGCAAGACCTTTAGGCCACAGGCCATGAAAAAGATGTAACTGTAGTGCATGTCACTGGCGAAGCAGATGCTTTGTCTAGGGTGCAGTGATTATAGTGGGCATTTCCCACAAACCTGGCGGCTTGGTTGCACTGCCGCCTGCAGCATGAAGATGAAAAACAATGTACAATGTAGCCTTTAACATGGAGCACGCTGATAGACGTGCAGGAGTGTTCTCACCCTCACCATTTGGAGCTACAGAAAGCCAGGTAAAGTGTGAGCACACCCCCTTGATATGATGGCAGGTTGACTACATCGRCCCTTTACTGAAAGTCAGAGAGGGCCATGTTCACCTTAATGGCAATTGATAGGACCACAGGATTTTGTTTGCCTGACCTAGTGGCCAAATGACTCAGTGTACTACAACTCATGCCCTGACAGGTGTTAAAGGCCTTGGTATGGCCAATAGAAAGTGATCAAGGCACCCATTTCATGGGCCAGGATGTGCAGTGATAGGCATTTCAGTTAGAGATTCAATGGAAGCTGCACATCTCATATTACCCACAGGCTGCAGGCATGACAGAACAATATATTGACCTGCTTAAGCAAGAACTCAAAACTGCAGTCAGCCCACCTTCTAGAAGGGGTGGGCACAATGTTTTTGGGCAGTTGTGTGAGCTTTGAATGAGCATCTCCAACAAGGGACACCAGTTTCTGTGGGGATTTTGCATAGAAGCACCAATAAAGGTCCAGGTGACAATGAAGGATATTTTATTTAAGACTGGGTTTGGGTAGCAAGGGAATGTTCTCTTGCCTGTTCTCTTGAATTGGAGGCAAACTGTAGATTGGACATGGCGCTGGACAAACCCTGCCCCCTCCCCCATTGGATGGCCCTGTTAGCCTTTCCSGTGGGGGAAAGTTTTGGAATGTGATCTCCTTGTGACACCGTGGACAACTAGTGAATGGTACCCCTGGGTACATGTTACTTAGCCAAGTCTCACARATGAGAAACAGATTAAAGGGCACTTCTGTCATTTCCCTTTAGACAATTATGAGTTTCCCAGTGCTGATACACACAGAGCCTGCTGAAGTCCAGGATCAAGCTATAAAGAGTGGTTTCATGGCTCAGAGAGGCTGCCCTAGGTGACCACTGTGTTTTCCTGGGAGTCAAAACTGGCATGCATTCTCCCAGATGGACATGATTTACATGTACAAGTGTCTGTAACTGCTTTGTCCTTTTGGCTGTAGGTGTGTCCTTGCCAACCATTGTGGAAAGGGCACACACCTACACCAAAGTAGCAAACACCTCTGTCTGCTGCTTATGTACTGAAGTGCCTATGAGTTCTACTCCTGCATTACCCTGGCAAATCCAGCCTATGTCCCTTGACAACTAGATGTGCCTAAAAAGGACTTTTGTTGTCACTTCAATAAAGGATGAAACTGGTGATGGTTTTTAGTAATCATGGGGAGTAGGGCTTATCTTCTGGTTTTATGCTGCAGCTTAATACTGTTGTTGTAGCCTGTGGCTGCAGGGCTCTACCCTCCTTACTAAGGAGTCATTAGAGAAGACATCAGAATATAAATTTTATGGCAAGAATTCCTATAGGGGTAGATTTTAGGGCAGGCCCAAGATGACTTATATTTATGCTCCCTCATTGATACTTCCAGCCAGCTATGTTCTAGTATGTGATCAAGGTCAAAATACCCTGATTTAGCATATGTACTCAAGATCATAAACATTGGCTTGTAAACATGTGCTAATTTATGTAAACTGTTGCACCATGACTTCTCTGGCCTGCATGTAAAAAAGGCCTGTGGAAAGACTCTGGGAGATGTGGGTAGCTGCCATCTCTGAATAAGGCATGCTACTATCCCAACTACACTTTGCATCTTTTTTCACCTGCTAGGATCCCAAATCTGTTTCCTAAGGTCTGAGTCCCTGAAGGATATTGAGGCTAGGCTCAAACTTGTGTTCCTCCTGCCTCAGCCTCCAGAGTCTCAGGGATTATAGGCATGTGTCACCATAGTTCTTTTAGATTATAGTTTTGTAACCTCTACGTCTTGACCTAGCATTTCTGTGACCACTAGATAAATATGCTAAGCTTGATGGACTTCTGATCTCTCCCAGCCTTATGTCTGGGAGTGATATGCTATTTGATCCTGTAGAAGATTTCCCCTGCCTTCTTGAAAACAACATTTGAATCTCATAGGAAATACCTCCCTGACCCTTTGTAGTTTATTTGATAAAACCACTTACATTCTTTTGGGACTATAAAATCTGTGTAATCTCCTTCAAGGGAACTATGTTGATATCTCCCAAAAGCTCATGTGTGAGACAATGAGTGAATTTTCAGAGGAGAAACAGTTATAAGATGTGTAACCTAATCAGTGGATTAATCAACTGACGTGATTCACTGGGTGGTAACTGTGGGAAGGTGGGATATAGCTAGAGGAGGTGGGTCCCTGTGGACTTTTGTCCCTGTTGAGCAGAGCTAGCTCTGATTCCTGATTGCCATGTCCTGAGCAGCCTTCCTCCATCATGTTCTTTCAGTATGATGTGCTGCCTCACCTTAGGCATAAAGCAATGGAGTCAGCTGTCCATGGACTGAGCCTTCTAAAACCAGGAACCCCAAATAAATTTGCATCCTCTTTGTTGTTCTTGTCAGATCTTTTGGTCACAGCAACAAAAAGCTGACTATATGTCTTTCCAGGTAACTTGAGTTCTCATGGCATGATGCACTCATATTTGGCTCAGAGTCATTTTCTTATCTCCTCAGAACTGTTATTTTCTTTCACACTACCCAAAGTGATCTACAGACTTAATGTAATTCCCAGCAAAATACCAATGACATTTGTTCACAGAACTACAAAACAGAATGCTAAAATTCATGAAGCAAAAAAGACCCTGAATATTCTTGAGGGGGGAAAAAAAAAGCTCTGGAGGCTTCTGAGCTGATTTGAAGATATACTACAAAACCATAATAACCATAACAACATAGCATAACAACAGCAATGTATACCAATAGGACAGAATAGAGAACCTAGAAATATACATGCATATACAGCAAAGGTGCCGAAAGCACATATTGGAGAGAGAATAACTTCATCAACAGTTGGTGCTAGGAATACTGTATATTCCATCCACATGCAGAGGATTAAAAACTTAACCCCTATCTCTTACACTCTACAAAACTCAGCTTACCATGAATGGAAGACCTGAAACTCTGAAATGACTAGAGGGAAATGGGGTAAATACTGATTTTTACAGCTAATGGTTTTCTGGATAGAACTCCAAAAGCACAGGAAACAAAAGCCCAAACCGAGAAATGGGGTTACCTCTTCAAAGAAAACAATCCAGAGTGAAGAACCTACAGAATAAGAATATATTTAACAGGTATTCATCAGACGGAAGGTTAATATCCAGAACATAAAAAGCACTTAATCACAAAAAAGCAAACAATTTTTTTAAATGTGGAAATGATTTGAATAGACCCTCTCAAAAGAAGAAATACGAATGGCCCATAAATACACGAAAAAATGCTCACTACCATTAGTCATCAAGGAAAATGTTTTCTTGGGTGTTCTAAGGTGCCTATGTAGTCTTGGAGGGCAGTGCACGACCCCTTTATTTTCGGGCTTGTGGAGGGTTCTCCTGCAAACCTCTGCACAGTGCGTGGGCAGGGGAAGGGTAGTATCATAGGGAGGCACSGATGGGGAGCCCCAGACAGTTGGGCCATAACAAGCTGATGCGCGCGGAGCGAACGAAGGAGGAGACCCAGGACTGGGGGCCGGCGGCCCAAGGGCGTGCAGGACCAGGGGCGGGGTCCCCAGGGCTGGTGGAGGAGGAGCAGGAAGGCGGAGCCAGGAGGAGGACCCGCCTTCGGAGCAGGCGCCGCAGGCCCCGCCCACCGTCTCCAGGACGCGGGCTCGCGTAGGGGCGCTTTCCGCCGAGAGTCTGCAGCCACCGGTCCGCGTCCCCGCCCTAGCCGTGGAGGAGCCCGGCCCCGGTGCAGGTAACCACCCGCACGWCCCTCCCGCAGGCCCCCGGCCTCCGCCCCGCGCTGCCCGCCCGGGGCATTCTAGGTCCCGATACCTCCCGCCGTGCGCGTCCGAGGCCTCCCTCGCCCTTGCGGTCTCCCGCCTCCGACCAGGCCCTGGCCCCTTGCGATGCGGCCGCCCTCCTGTTGTCTGCCAGCCTCCTCAGCCAGGTCCCCCGCCACCCCGGCCCTGGTCCCTTCGCGCTGCGGCCGCCCGGTCCTTAGACAGCGAGGTCCCCCTGCGTGCCCGCGAGAGGCCCGGGCCCGCACCCCTGCACCTCTTGGTTGCASCCGAGCCTTTTCGTAGGCCCCGAGGGACGCCCCCGAGGGTTCCTTGGGGTGACTGCTGCCGCAGCGTCACCAGGAGACCGATTGGTGACCCTGGTTGGTGGTAAATTGRACACTGAGGAATGGATGCGATTTCCTAGGGTGTCTGCGGTGGAAAGCAGAACTTGAATTAGTCCTTTGAAATTGCATTCACCGATTTGTTTTCAAGAAAGGTGGCCCCTGTAGACCTTTGTATTGTATTACTCCTAATATATTTTGTGTGATCGATTTTTCTTTAATTTTATTTTTGTTCGGTGACATTTGTTTTTAAACATCCACTAGCATTAGTGTTTTGAGAGGCAGTGCAGTATGTAGCAGAAACAGCTGCTGTATAACAAGAGGTGATTTTTAGAGTTCTTCAAGATGGARCGCCATCCGTCAAGTCCTCATGGCTCCATCCTCAAAATCTAAAGTGATTAACTATCTTTATCCTTTATGTTTTAATTGAAGATCTTAAGTATATACGTCTGGAGTATCTTAAAGCAAATCCCTCAGGTAGATTCTTAAGTATATACTGTATCTGTAATACCGAGAAGATGTAAGGACTCCTTTTTAAAAATATATACATATATGCCATAATAGAATTGTCACACAGCACCAAAATTAACATTAATTCCTTGACACCATCCAGTAGACTAGTAGACTCAGTCTGTTAGAATAGCCACTGATATATTCTAATGTCTTATTGAATCATGTTCAATTTTCCCCAATTGTCTTTTTAAATTATTTTAAAATAATTTCACATTTACAGAAAAGAATAATTTAAAGTACTCTACTTTTCCCCCCCAGATTAGCCAGTTTATATTTGTTCATGCTTTATTCTGTTTATACATGTGCATACACATGCTATCTAGAAGCTATTTTGACTTTCAAAATACTTTTTTTTTCCCTAAACTATTTGAGAGTGGGTTGGGTATGTCATGCATTCACGTATTCATCTTTATATATATAATCAATATAACATGTATTTCCTTAGAGCAATGATGCTCTTTTTTATAATCAAGTACAATTGTCAAATTTGGAAAATTTAGCATTGGCACATCACTTTTATCTATGTTGTAGTTTATATTCTAATTTTGCCAGTTGTCAGAAAAATGCTTTTTGGAGGTGGGTACCAGGGATTGAATCAGGGGCACTGGACCACTGATCCACATTTCCATCCCTATTTTATATATATATATATATATATATATATATATATATATATATATATAATTGGTTGTTCAAAACATTACATAGCTCTTGAACAGCATGGTACTGGTACCATAACCTATTTTATATTTTTATTTAGGAACAAGGGCTCACTGAGTTGCCTAGCTGCCTCCCTTTTGCTGAGGTTGGCTTTGAACTCTCAATCCTCCTGCCTTCCTTGGTCTCCTGAACTGCTGGGATTACAGGCATGTGCCATTGCTCACACCTGTCTCAGAATGATGTTCTTTTTTTAAATATTTTTAGCTGTATATGGACACAATATCTTTATTTTATTTATTTATTTTATGTGGTGCTGAGAATCGAACCCAGTGCCTCGAACATTCTAGGCAAGCACTCTACCACTGAACCACAACTTCAGCTGCCCAGAATAATGTTCTTTATAGCGTATTTTCTTTTCTGTTACAGGATGCAGTACAGAGAATTATTCCATTTACTTACCTTGTATAGTTAATCATGTTTAATTTATTTTTTTTGTAGTTGTAGATGGACAGAATGCCTTTATTTTATTTGTTTATTTTAATGTGGTACTGAGGATCAAACCCAGTGCCTCACGCATGGTAGGCAAGTGCTCCGCCACTGAGCTACAGTCCCAGTCCCAATCATGTTTAACTTGAGACAACTCCTGAACCTTTGTTTCTCATGACACTGACATTTTTAAGAAATTATAACCCATTATTTGGTGTCATTTTTCTGAATTTTTTTTTTAATGAATAGACTTAGATTAGCATTTTGAGGTTGAAATACTATATAAGCAAATCTGTCCTTTTTCAGATGATAACATCTAGAAGAGCATCATGTCTACCCCTTATATGGTTAAGATGTTATCCCTTTTCTCCATTGTACTGCTAGTTTTTCTTTTCAAATTAATAAGTAATTTGTAGGGAGATACTTGCAGACTATGTAAATATCCCGTTCCTTATCAGACTACTGACTTGTACTCTGCTTGATTTAGCATCTGTTGTTGATAAATGTGGCCCAAGAATCAGTTTTCCTATAATGTTTGCAAAATGGTAACTTTCCACATCTGCCACTTTTATCAGTATAATCATTAGTAAGCTATAACATGTTGAGCACTTATTGCTCACTATCCCAGATGTGTTCCTTCAAACATATTCCTTTTTTAATTTTTTTTTTAATGGGGTAGAGATTGAACCTAAGGTCTTAAATGTTTAGTGTGTATTTAAAAAAAAAAATACACAAGGATATTCTCCTGCCTAACTGCAGGAAAACCACTCACATGAGAAAACTAATGCATCACAACCATTGAATTCCTAGTTTCTCTTCATTTTCGCGTTTTCCCAGTTGTCCATTATATTACTCTTTATAATATGATGAAGTCTACAGTTACTCATTGCATTTAGTCATCCGGTCTTTTTGGGACTGTTTCCTCAGCCTTTTCATGACTTTCATGACCTTGATACCTTTGAAGCTTATAGATCAGTTATTTTGTAGCATCCTTTAGTTTGGGCTTATCTGATGTTTCCTTTTGATTGGATTCAGGTTATACATTTTTACAACATATGTCCAGAGGTCTTCTCATTTCACCTATTAGTTGGCACATGATTTCCATTTCTCCCATTTCTAATAGCATTCATTTTGATCATTGGATTAAATGGAGTCTGCCTTGCTCCTATGCAAATATCTTGTTTTCCATCAAATGTCATATTTATTCATTTTTGTGGATTCAGTTTCCTATTTTAATACATTAATATAATATTTTGTTTGTTTTTAGAGATGGGGTCTTGCTTTGTTGCTCAGACTGGTGTCAGACTCCTGGGCTCAAGTGATCATGCTGCCTAAGCCTCTCAAAGAGGTGAGACTATAGGCAAGTCATACTGCACCAACTTATAATTCATTTTGATGCTCAGTTATTCTCAGTTGGGTCAGTGAAACTCCCTTTTACAATGATTTCTGTGTCCTCTTTCTTCTTGGGCTCTAGCTTACTGTGCAGGGCTATCCAACTGTGTGATCATCATTCTTCCAAGATTCTCCTAATGGCCATTCTCCCAAGATTATGCTCTCCCACTCTGCCTGTACTCYCATGCCTCATGCATATTAGGGCCTTCACCTGAGTATCCTCTTCACTCTGCTTGGCTCTAATGGACTATTCTTGGCCTCTGCCATAGCCATCCCACCCCACTCAGTGTGGGGCTTGTCAGGCATCTCTCACTTCATGCTATCTCAGGACTTTGTTTTTCTTTGAGCTAGTTGGGGCTTTCCCACAGCTTGGTGGGCTCTGGGCATTAGATGGCTTATGCAGTGATTGGTGCTTCATGGGTAATTATTCCTAGGAGCAAGGTAGAAGGTGTATTATCTTTTATGATTTAGCCTTAGAAAATGCATAGCATCACTTCCATTGTACTCTCTTAGTCATATAATCATAAAATATGGCCCTACATCAGAGGAGGAGGCAAAGACCACAGCACTCAGTGGGAAATGTATCAAAGTCACAGTATAAGCATTTGAGATGCAAGATTTTGGGCTGGGCATGGTGGCGCACACCTATAATTCCAGTTGCTCAGGAAGCTGAGGCAGGAGGAGGATYGTAAGTTCAGAGCCAGCCTCAGCAATGATGAGACGTAAGCAACTCAGTGAGACCCTGTCTCTAAGTAAAACACAAAATAGGGTTGGGGATGTGGCTCAGTGGTTTAATACTCCTGAGTTCAATCCCGGGTACCCCCCCCAAAAATAGATTTTATTCTAGCCATCTTTGCCAACTGCAGTCTGCCACAGTGAGCAAAGGAAATGACATAGATAGAAACTTTGTCATCAGGATCCTTCCCAGTTCATATTTATCTTTATTGTATGAAAAATAACTTATTAAGAGGCCAAATACATTTTGCCTGGCTATTTAAGACATGAGATATTAAATGATTCCTCAGTCTCTTACCTTAAAGTGTTAACTTACAGGGCTGGGATTATGGCTCAGTGGTAGAGCACTTGCCTAGCACGTGTGAGGCTACTGTGTTCGATTCTCAGCACCACATATAAGTAAATAAAATAAAGGTCCATTGACAACTAAGAAATATTTTTTTTTAAAAAAGAGTTAACTTACTTGAGCTATTGAAAAAGTAATTATCAAAACTTTATGAAAATTCTAAATTTAGATGCTTAATAAACTATTATTACTATTATTTTCAGCATCTTATGAATGGTTTTTACTTAATTAGCCATTGATATCTCAACAAGCATGGAGATAAGATTAGAAGTTTTGACATCAACAAGCATCAAGCAGAAAAAACCCTGGCCTAGAATTTCCTGGTTGGGACAGGTGAGTTTTTCCTTGCTCATACAATACCAGTTTTATATATGTTAAGTGTGTGTGTTTTTTCTGTAAGATATAGGATGTCCTAGAAGCTCAAAGAAATCAAGCAGCAATTTTAGAGAATTTCTTGCCCCCTGAATAGGGTTTTGCTTGTGTTTTGTTTTTGTTACAAGCAAGTTAGCTTCAGAAAGTTAGGTGGTCTGTCTAGAAGAAAATTTTTACTTTCAGAAAAATTTTTTCTTTGTTATGTTTAAGTAGGGTAAGATGGTATATATCAGAAGGAAATGTTTAGTTTCCTGAAACTCCTCTAGTTGAATATTGGAGTGTTTCTTACTACTGTGATTTTCATGACTCTGGCTCATCAGAGCTAAGACAGAAGAGATGAGCCACATGTGTCAATAATCCAGGAACACCATTCATAAAATCTAACGTAGGTTCTTTACCTTAGGGAAAGTGGTGTGTGTGTGTGTGTGTGTGTGTGTGTGTGTGTGTTTTATATGTAATAAATAGTGATTAATGAAATAAATAAAATGTCAAATTTCCTGTGAGAAATTTTATCACTAATTATCAGGCATTTTCAATCTTTATGACACATCAGAATCATCTGAACAGGTTATTAAAACAGATTGTGGTGTACAACCAGAGATATGAAAAATTGTACTCTATATGTGTAATGTGGATTGTAATGCATTCTGTTATCATATATAACAAATTAAAATTAAAAAAAAAAAACACCACCAAGTTTCCAACTCTGCATCTTTTGGAGGGTTGTGTAGTTTGCATTTCTGACAGATTCTCAGGAGCTGYTTGCCGCTTCTGTCTCACAAATGCCTTGAAAACCCCTGCTCCAGGTTGTACAAAACCAAGGTTCATTCAAAACAGCCTACTTTTGCTGGGCATGGTGGTGCACACCTGTGATCCCAGTGACTTGAGAGACGGATGCAGGAGGATCACAAGTTCAAGACCAACTTCTGCAAGTTAACAAGACTCAGTGTCAAAGAATAAAAAGGTCTGGGGATGTAGCTCAATGGTAAAGTGTCCCTGGGATCAGTCTTCTGTATCAAAAAGTAAAATAAGTAAATAAATAAACAGCTCACTTGTTCTAATCAACAGATGATCTGTGTCAAGGGTTTATGAATTTTTGAAGCCATATCCATGTTAATCTAGTAAATCATATAAAAACTTACCAATACCACTTTTAAAACTGATAAGAGATTAAGCAGTGGGAAACAGTTTTGGCTAGCAGAATTGGAAGATACTCCTATAATGTTAAATTTCAAAGAAATTTCAGTGTGGCTGTTAGGCCACCTTGCTTATTTTTTATAGTGTTGGGGATGGAACCCAGGGCCTCATGCATGCTAGGGAAGAGCTCTACCACTGAGCCACACCCCCAGCCCATAAGAGTTTTAAAATGGAATAAAAAATCTTTAAATTACTATAGAATAGCAACCTTAGTGTTTATTTTATGATTTGTGATATAAACTACAATCTTTCCTAAGTGTTATTTTGTTTTCCCTTCTGGCATAATTTATTTAGACATTAGATAAGAAGTTGAATTAATTTTTGGAATCACCTAATCCTTCACATGTTTTTTTTTCTCTTAGGAAAATGAAGCTGTTTTTCTTTTGGATGGTAAATTCATAAATGAGATTAATTTGCTGTCAGGAAGAACAAAGAAGATTCCTAGTCTGCAGACTTTGTTGAAGAATGTTTTTGTCCTGACAACATCCAGTAATGGTTAAGTAATACAGATATTTTTAAAAGGCTAGACTTACTGTGTTTTTTAAAAACTTAGAGCAATATTAAGAGATACATTAGGTTAAGAATTGCATTTCTTTTGAATGCAGATGCCTGGTTGGCTGGGGTACTCACCACTGGGGAGCTTTTCCTTTGGAACAAAGATCAAGATTGTTTGAAAACTCTACAAGTAACTGAACAGCCTAAGGAAATGATAAAAGCCTCTGTAGGTGGGGACTTTTTATTTGTTAAGTTGGTTTAACTGGGAGAAATAAAAGGAAAAGAGGATGAAACATTTTTCTATTATTTTGAAAATGTATCTCTGTGTGCATTTGTGCATATATATTTTTCTGTATATATGTTTTTAAATTTTTTGGTAGTGTTTTTCTGTGATACCTATGTTTATCTATGATACATAGATAAAACTTGAAGAAAAGTCTGCATGCCTAACATTCTSCAATAAGTGGGTTCCTAATGCCATATAAGAAGTCTGGGAGATTTAGACTTAGAGGTTTAATTGGGTGATTTGTTTTGTTTTATTTGTTAATTAGGAAGCTCTTTAAGACTACACTTGTATGTTTCTGGAAATGGAAAAAGAGTTCTGCTTATAGCACCTTCTGGATGTGTATTTCTTTGGGAATATTTGGAATTAAAGAATATTGTATCTTCAAAAAGCCTCGCATTGGTGGGTCAGTGGTCCCAGATCATACCTGAAGAAGCAGTTCTTTTGCCTTCCACTGATGATAAAGAAGCTGTAGTGAATGCTGTTTTTGTAGAAAATGAGGTAAAATCCAAAGCAGACGATGTGGCAGGAGTTGAGATCTCAGGCTCTAGGAACAGACCCTGTCTGAGAAGCTATTTAGTGGAGGGTGTGATGATATAGTTGTCCGTCTCTAATCAATTATCATAGATGTTGTGAAATTATTGTATGGATAAGATATACTTCTTGAATCACATATAAACAAGTGTTTATTAGAAATGAGAACTTTTCCCCCCTAATTTAAAATACAACTTGTTTTGTAATTTGTCAAGCTAGAATTGGTGGTATTAAATAAACCTTTTAATACTGAGGAAACAACAGATTTATTAACTAAAAATAAAACATTTAATATAGCTGTGTGGTACTCTGCATGTGTGGCTTAACATCTCATCTAATGTGTATTAGAAATTGCATTTTGAAGTTTTATTGCCACTGCTAACTGGGGTGATGCTGTAATATAAATAATTTAAAAGTAGTAAAAAAGAGAAAAATAGCCATTTAAGAATTGACTACTTATAGAACATGTATAAGACCCTGAGTTCAATCCCCAGCACTGCCCTCCCCCCCCCAAAAAAAAGAAAAACTTTTGACTTATAATCACAATAAATGGCAGTGTTTAATTTTTAAAAATTGGAAAAAAATGATACATACTATTTGTGCATTTTATGGGGGTAAATTATGGTAATTTGATACATGTATATATTATGCAATAAATAAACTTAATAAGTATTTATGTGTTCAAAAATAAATATTTTTTGGTTTTTTTGGGAGGGCTGGGGGTGTGGCTCAGTGACAGAGTGCTTGCCCTGCACATGTGAGGCATTGGGTTTGATCCTCAGCACCATATAAAAATAAACAAACAAAATAAAGATATTGTGTCCATCTATAACTAAAAAATTAAATTAAAAGAATTTTTAAAAAATTTGTTGATGGACCTTTAGTTTATTTATGTATTTATATGCGAGGATAAGAATTGAACCCAATGCCTCACATATACTAGGCAAGTGCTCTACCCCTGAGCTATAACCACTGCCCCCAAAATGAATATTTTTTTATGTGTTGTGAATTTCATACTCTCATTTTGAAGTTTATCATAGGTTATTTTAATCAGTAATTATCCTCATGTACTACAGAAAAACCAGAGCTATTTCCTCTTCTTTAGAGTTTTTTGTTACCCCTTATTGAAGTTCTTGAGAAGATAAACTGCAACCTGAGGGACTGGACTGGACTATTGCTCGGTAGTAAAGCACATGTTTAGCATGTGTAAGACCCTGGATTCAATCCCCAATGCCAAACCTCTTCTCCACCCCTAGTCCCCACCTGATTCCCGTTTGGGATCTGCCTCTGACTCCAAAAAAAAAAAAAAAAAAATTACTTAGTTTTTAATTTAATGTTAAGAATAAAAATATATTGCCAGGTGTGGTAGTACACACCTGTAATCCCAAGGACTTGAGAGGCTGAGGCAGGAGGATTATAAATTTAAGGCCAGCCTCAGTGACTTGTGAGGCTCAAAACAATTTAGCAAGATCCTGTCTCTCAATAAAACTAAAAAATGCTATGATGTACCTCAGTGATAAAGTGCCCCTGGGTTCAATCCCTGGTACAAAAAAAGAATATAACCAGGGTCCCAATAGTTTTCATTTGTTTATTTATGATGAGAAATATGTTTTTTGTACCTTGATTTATTTTCATATTAATTTTATACTAAAATATATTAAATTTATCTACAGTTGTTTGGTGACTGCTGCCTGTGTTCATTTACATTTTATTCTGGGGAATGCCTGAAGTTAACGTTTCTAGCAATTCGGTGGCATGAGAATGTATTTACCCCTTTAAGGTGAGGTAAATGTTTGCTTCTTTCTTATTTTCTGTCCCTATTAAAATATCATTATCTTTTGGTTGTATGCAATTAAGATTTGTAAATGTTAGTGTGAATTTCAGTTTCTGAGGCTTCACAAATCCTTTTTCCCACCTTTCATTTCTAAATGTTTTAAAGTTTTTCTTATTTTTTTGTTCTGTTTATCTTTTTGAAAGTGAGAACATGTAAAAGACAAGCCATGCTGTGGTTTTCCTTGTCTTAAAGCTACAAGAACAACTACATTATGGAAAGTCACATATACTGTTGTGCATTTTAAATGCTCAAGTGCTTTTTTTTTGGGGGGGGGGCAGGAAACTAGGGATTGAAGCCAGGTGTGCTTAATCATTGAACTACATCCCAGTCTTTTTTTATTTTTTATTTTGAGACGGGGGCTCACTAAGTTGCTGAAACTGGCATTGAACTCATGATCTTCCTGCCTCATCCTCCAGAGCTACTAAGATTACAGTCATATGCCACCACACCTGGCTCAAGTGCTTTTTTTTTTAAAAATATTTTTATTAGTTGTTTATGAACTTTTTAATTTTATTTATTTATTTGTATGTGGTGCTGTAATCGAACCCAGTGACTCACACATGTTAGGCAAACGCTCTACCATGGAGTCACAATCCCAGCCCCCATCAAGTGCTTTTTAATTAAAATAGTTTTATTCTAAAAAGTTCAATAAAATATAAAAATACATTAGAAGCTCATAAGGTCTAGGATTTAATAAAATGTTAAAAATTTTTATGCCAATAGGACTTTATTAAAATTTTATTAAGATACTTTACATGAAATGAAAAACCTTTTTTTTCAATCAATAATTTTTTTTAATAGCAAATGGGGGCATTTTTAAATTTTTATTTATTTTTTATATGATGCTGAGGATGGAACCCAGGGCCTCACATGTACGAGGCAAGCTCAGTCACTGAGTCACAATTCCAGCCCCAATCAATAAATCTTAAGTGTACAACAATATAGACTTTGACAAATATATACATCTATGTAATTATTACTCAGATGAAATGTAGAACATTAACAGTATCCAAAAAATTTCCTTTTTAACTTCTTTAATCCTTGTGAAAACGTTTGCTATGATGTAAAAATGTGATTATCTAAACATTTAATTGAAGTAGATGTATTTAGGATTGACTGTGAAACCTGGCTCTATTAACAAACTCTGATATTGAACATGTTTAATTGACTGATAGCTAATCTTTTGTGCCCTGGATAAAATAACTTATCTTTCTCCTTCTCCTTTGTCCTCCTCTTTCTCCTTCCTCCTCCCTCTTCCCTCTTCCTTCCTCTTCCTTTTTCCATCCCTTTCTTCTCCATCTCTAAGAGGCCTAATTGCGCACTTTTAGGGATTTAAGTGGACTCTATACTTTTTTTTAAATTCATAGTTGGACAAAATACCTTTATTTTATTCATTTATTTTTATGTGGTGCTGCAGATCGAACCCAGCACCTCGCATGTGCTAGGCAAGTGCTCTACTGCTGAGCCACAACACAACCCAACCCTATAATTTTTTGTAATGAACTATGTATATCAGTTTTACAGTTACTACACAAGTTGGGTATGTGACACAAATCTTTAGTCCAAGGTACTCGGGATTCTGGTTTAGGGGTATCTCTTGAACTTAGGGATTTAAGCCCATCTTGGGCAGTATAGTGAAAATCCGTCTCAAAAACAAACAACCCCTCTAAAGTGTTGCTATGCTTCCTGTGTTCAATTATTTATTACTTTCTTAGGTCATTGCCCTACCATGTTCATTGGGCACAACAGGATTGTCTTCTGAGTAGTCTGATTCCCACATGTGAATCCATAAAGTCAAGAGGAGCACTAATTTCTGCATTTTCAAGAGATGGCCTCACCCTAGCAGTAACTCTTAATCAGACAGACCCAAAGGTCAGTAAATCTAATCTGTGTTGGAAGATACTCTATGAAAGAATTTACTCCAGCTTTGAGGCTTATTTTCCTTCATGACAGTTTTTTTTTTCCTATTACTCAATGTTCTTTAAATTGGTGTTATCCCTCCCTCTGCTCCCCCAGAATTGAATACAGTGCCACACATGTGCTAAGGAAGCACACTTCCACTGAGTTACACCCTAAACTCAGTCCTAAATTGATGTTTTCTAATGCAGCTTGCCATTTGGATTGGTACGGTTATTTAAGTTAGCTGCCATAATTTTCAGAAGTTTTTCTTTAGAAGTGAAAAGAGGGTTAGGGAAAAGGAAGAAAGAAGAGTAGAACAGTAACTGTGATGTTCTTAAGGTGGAATAGAAAAGAGCAAGGAATTGTAGGGGGTCAGTACTGTCTTATCAATTGGAAAGAGTTCCTAGATGGTTTATAATAATGACAGATCTTTGTCTCCAGAGTTGTAAATAATGATTACAGTAAAATAATTATAATGTTTTTGTGGTATTGTTTTCCTTCTAGGCAACTCAGGTATTATTTATAAACACAGTGAATTTTGTTACTCTCTGTGGTAGCCTTAAAGGATGTAGTAATAAGAATCCTGTGGTTCCAGCTACACTTGTCAGGTACAGATTCTGATTATTTTTCTCAGTAGTACTTTCATTTTCTTTTCCAACAGCTTAAGAAGTTGAACACTAATAATTCCATAGGTATCATTTAGACAGGGGCTACAACTTCTTTAAGCATTTGTGCTTGATAAATTCTTAAAGTTGCTTTATATAAGGAAAGCCTTAATAATTTTTCAGAAGGATCTGGTGGGAGTAGAAGATTCATGAATGTATCTTTTCTCTTTCATTGTTTTCTATGTCCTCCTAGAAGGAATGGGATCATACATAGGTAGAGCAGTATTGGGTGTAATTGGAGGGGCTGAAATGAAGAAGCTTGGGCTGAGTAGATCATTATTCTCTGAGGCATATTACCTCCTGAACGGTTGCATCCTGTGTTGCCGCAACATTGTTGGCTACTTTGGATGTCACATGAGCTACCAATAGGACATATGTAGGATTATAGAGTATGAAGATTTTCTCCTAGAGCTCCTGACTTTCTTTTCTTAACACTTGTCTGTGCTATTTCTGAATTTTCTGGTCACCCTATCCTCCTTCTTCATTTTCTTTCCTTCTCCAACAGTTCCTTCCCAGAAGTATCACTAATCTCAGGTCAGTGGTCGGTTTGAGTTAGTTGTCCATCATTTTCATGAGGCAGAGCTGCTTTTTGTTCTTGTGAAACATTTACATTATCAGGTAGTTAAAAGTGTGGTGATGGTAACACCTTTGGGAGGAGACAGGTTCTGCTGTTGAGCACTCTAGCAAGCTGCAGGACAGGCACAGCCTTGAAATCTGTCCATAGATCTTGGTTGTAGACTCCATTAGAAAATTCATTCTAAATAAAATGTGACTAAACATCTCACTCCAGGGAGTATTTCCATTTTTAAATTGCTTATGAATCTTAATAAATTTCTAGTTGGGATAGTGTTGCAGTAGATGTCTATGAGCAAGCTCTTTTTTCTAGGAAGTAAAATTCATGAAGTAGCTGTGACAGTTGCTTTCTATCAATTTCTTAACTCTCGTGTTTTGAAATATCTCACTCCTATACGATACAGCCCATTATAAACTGTTGAATACATTGTAGAAAGTCCTATCTAAACATGATGTGCCATGTTCTTTCTAGGTCCTATTGGGTAGGTGATGTCAGCTGGACACATGATAGTCTTTTCCTGGCTTGTGTGTTAAAACGTGGTTCCCTGCTGTTATTGACCTGCCAAGGTGAATTGCTAACATTAATTACATTTGGTTGCTCTATTGAATTTGGGCCAGCAGAATTTATTCCTCTTCATCCACTAATAACATATAGGTGAGACATTTGAGTTGTTTTATTTTCAGAAGTTTTTCTCTTTTGGTATTACTTTTACTGTGTATTTTCAAAAATAATTTCACCTTCAATTTGTCTTTTTCTTTCTTTGAGTTTGTCATCTCAATATCTGTTTCTTATTTATAGTTTTCTTCTATTTCTTTTTGTGGCTTAATCGTGGTGAAAATTTGACATTGTGACTATGTGAGTATAAGTTATTTAAATATGCAATAGCACTAAAAATCTGTTTTTTATATAAAAGATAATAAAAGTCTGATATGACTTTTATTGTTGTGAAAGAATAGCATATAGATAAGTTAATAACTCAAAATTAACTATACATGGATTGCACTTCTACCCAAAGGGTGGAAATTGTTGGTAATGGATAAAAGACTTTAGAATTTAGCCATGTTTTAAAATTTTAATTGTGAAATGAGGTGGTAGTTTGGCTTTGGAGCCAGATAGATCAAGATTCAGATGTTGGTTTTCTACTTCATTGTATTGTTCAGTTGTTCTTTAAATCTCATTTTTTTTCCCTTGTGAATTGAAGATGAGGAAGTGCAGTAAGATGATATAGTTACATAATTATAAATCACTAAGTGAGGTTCTCATTTAAAGTATAGAGGTATTCATTATTTTGAAATTAGAAAAGTGTATAAAATGATACACTCCTATAATTCTATTCCTTGAGGAACAATTAACATTTTAGTATGTTGTCATCCAAATTTAAAAAAATATATATGTAGCATTTATAATAATAACAATGTTAATTTCTTTTTTAACACAAGATAAACTATATGATATATGCTCTTTACTACTTTGCTGTTTGATAGCATCTCTTACATATTTTTCCATTTTAGATATTATTTCTAATGGTTCTATAGATTTCTGTGGTGTGTGCACACTACAGTTAACCAGTATCCTATTGTTGGCCATTTGGCTAATAAAAAAGCTGGTTAAGAAATCTGATTAATTTTCTAACAAGACAAAAAGTACCATAAATTTATCTCCCTTTACATATGTATATATATATATATATATATATATAGAGAGAGAGAGAGAGAGAGAGAGAGAGGGAGAGAGAGAGAGATGTAGATGGACACAATACCTTCATTTTATTTGTTTATTTTAAAAATTTTTTAATATTCATTTTTCAGTTTTTGGTAGACACAACATTTTGTTTTATTTTTATGTTCTTATCAGTTTATTTGTTTATTTTTATGTGATGCTGGGGATCAAACTCAGTGCCTCACAGGTGCTGGGCAAGCGCTCTACTACTGAGCCACAACTCTGGCCCACTTCCTTTATAAAGTCTCAAACTTAATAAGCAGTGATATTAAATAATTAGAACCAGGAATACCATTAAATCAATATATATGTATATTTAAGTGGAAATTCACTCAAATTTAAAGATGATAAAATTTTACTCATCATTATCCTTTCCAAACATTCATCTGAGTTTCTTTTTCTTACCCCTCTTTAATAACAAGTATACTAAGAACTGTTAATTATATCCCTAAAAGTATATTTAAATATATTATAAAAGAATGTTAACTATTTAACTTTCTTTAGTAATAAAAATAAACTACCTTTATTCTTTTCTGAAATAAATTGTATTTTGTTAAAAACAAAACAGTAAATGGCACAATTCCAGGGGAAAAATTAAAAACTTTTAATAGTGTTTAATCACTATGTTATATTTTCTTCACAGATATGTATACATTTAATATTTTAATGTGTTTTTCATCTATTTGCTTTCTTATCATTATGTAATTTTTGTTATTTTGCTTTTTCTTTGGAATAATATAGTTGTTTTAAAAGATCTTCTCTTACTGATTCTTCAATTCTAATGTTTGTTTGCTAGACCACAGCACTTTACATTTCAAGATTCAAATAATTCTGTAGATTCATCAGCTTCTGATAGTGACCCTATGAGACAGAGGTTTTCTATAAAAGCACATTCACGGTTACCCTACTTCATTATTTCTGATGGATACATGATCACAACTCTTCGATTTCTTGATAACCTGTCTCCTTCAGTGCTCATGAGATCACTTCTACTTGATTCAACCCAGAGGCTTGAGAAAACATACCAAAGTGTGATGTTATCTAAGGTATAGTGCTTTTTGGTATTATTGGTAATGTTGCCTTCTTTTTGAAGTTGAAACTATACTAACAGTAATGTTCTTTATGTACAGTCAACCAGAGAATTTTTAATTGCTTATAATAGAATAAATATAAATTTTGTTCTTGGAAATCTTTTCTCTTTTCATCTATAGCCAAAAGGCAAAGGACTGAACTTGCAATCACTGGATTCCCTAAGGTCTAGCCTGTTAAAACAGCAAGGAAATGAAAGTTCAGCTGATTCTACTGTCCCCAAGTTTTTGCGAACAGAAGAAACAATAAAGTTAAATGAAAAAACAGATTTTCAGGTACTTTGAACAATTACATCCTGACCATATTCCAGGAAACACATTTTGTTTTTCACTTGTTACAGGGAAGAGAAATTTGAGAATATCACAGTGATTCTACTTATGAAGATTTAAATGGTATTAAGTGTAATCTTTTCCTTTATGTTTAGGACTTTGAAGCAGAAGAAACTAATGAAGGCAAATACTTTTCAAACACCTTATTTCCTTTTTGGAGCCAAAAAAGTGATCCTCTGTTTATCAGTGCCAAGGAGGGAAGATTGGAATTTGCATCTATGTTTGATACAATACATGCAAAGGATGATATTAAGGAGACAGACAAAACCATTACAGAACTGCATTCTATTCAGAAAAATCTTCTTGCAGCATGGACTGTAGGAATTTCAAAAAATGTGATAGAAAAAAGTTTAATGTTAAATTATACAGTAGTTTGTATCACCCATTTTTTCTACATTCTTCAGTTTGTAAAGTGTCCTTTCCCAAAACTTAGTATTTTTTTAAGCAAGATCCCAAAACATAATTCATGGGTACTTTGTATCTTCCAGCTTTTTCATCAGTGTTTATCCACCCAGTATTGGGATATGAGATATAGGCAAGACGTGAGACATTTGATAAAACTGACCTCAAATACTATAAAGCTTTTGCTGACTCAGCAACAAAAGGGTCACTTACTCTCAGAGAAACTTTTTGCCTGCTTTTATTTACTTAGAATGGTAGCTGACAATTTAAATGGCGTATATCAGCTTCAACCTGAAGTTATTTCAGCATCAGCTGATGGAAGTAGAACAACAGATCAAGACTCATTGGTGGTATCTATTTTTCAAATGTTTCAAGACAGTAGTTCTCAGGAAAACTGGTCTTGGAAGTCATCTTTCAAGATTCATCCTCAAGTAACAAATCTTGTTCAACAACCGAGTCACAGGTATAATTATCTACTTTATTATTAAAATACCATTAGATTTTCCAAACTGTAAAATTTATTATTTTAAAGTATACTGCTCAGTGGTTTTTCATATAAGATTGTGAAACTATTAGTACTAATTCCAAAATATTTTTAGGGCTTAGGATATAGCTCAGTTGGTAGAGTGCTTGCCTCACATGCACAAGGCCCTGGGTTCAATCCCAGCACCACACACACATATAAAATTTATTATGTACATAAAAACATCTTGTTATACCTGATAAATATATATAATTTTATTTGCCTATCAAAAAATATTTTAGGATTTATGTCAAATGTCATATAGCACACTCCTTTTTTTTTTTTTTGGACTTAGTTAAGTACTATTAAAAAAGTGACCAAAGACACATAAAATTTTGTTAAGATTTTTTTCATATGTATTATGCATTTTTAATCATAATGTATTTAAGTCAGATCAATATATGTTATAGCAGTGAAGAATACAGGTAGAAAAATAAGATGAGGGAGCTAAACTCATTACTAGTTTGAAACTTGGTTTTGATGATTACCTAATTTTATGTGCAGATTGATTGCTCTCTGGAGAATATTGTACAAAAAAACTTTATGGTATCAAGCACAGTTAAGTCGAAGAATTCCTGAAGGTGACAGACAGTTAATTGAAAATATAGCAAATGAAGCATCTACTGTCAAATCCTTGTTATGTCATATACAGGCTAATTTACAGACTGCTGGAGATCACTTGAACCAGGCCTTAGAACTTACATCAATCCATGGTCAGTGTCTTTTAAAGAATATCTAGCTCTGTAAATGAGTGAAATAATTAACTGGGCTTTGGTTTTTTAATTGGCTGCAATTTATTTGTTGTTCAAAATATTTTCTGGCTGAGATGTATTGAATTTTTGAACAATAAATTTTTATAAATTAACATAATTAACTATGACTAATTATTGGTTAAAAACTTCTTAGGTGAAGAATGTTTTCTGATAGGATCATATGAAAAGTCTATTCAACTGTGGAAGAAAGCTCTAGAAGAAATCCAAGAGACAGGTAGGGGGGTATTAAAAAATGATACATGCCATAATATTGGTGAGAATATGTATTAATTTGCTGCAGAGCTCTGAAATAATTCCAGCATTCAAAGTGCTCACAGTATCCTAATGCCCAGGTAGAACATCTGTTTTGTCAACTTGACTATCAGAAATACTTATTTAAAATTATTTTTAGTCTTGAAATTTGTGCCACTAGGAATCTTTTCAGTGACCTCTGGGAAGTCTCTTGTCCTGTTTTTTTTGTTGCTAGAGCTGAAACCTGTGGTTGATTGTTAATGGAGACCAATGAGATTTAGATCCTGAATAAAATAATGTTTATTTTTTGTTGTTGTGTAGAGGTACTACACATATCCAAATGGGAAACTGTAGACCAAATATTTTGCCACTTTCTTGGAGAAACCTGGAACTGAGCCTCCTTGTCCTTAACTTATATAAGAATGTCCTGTTGGTTAAATATATTGTTGGGTTAAATATGATTTACATGGAGTTTCTGATAAACATATAGCAACTCTAGAAACTGGTAACATCTTTTATGATATAGGGCTCAGAGTGTGGCTGAGATAACAGAAGTTCTCAGCTGGTAAGCCTGGAGCTAGCCCTGATTGCAACTAGTACATGGTCAGATTGGGCCGATTATTACCTTTTTTTCGGGGAATCTGGGGATTGAACCCTGGGCACTTAACCATTGAGCCACACCCCCTGCCATTATTATTATTATTTTTTGAAACAGGATCTTATTAAGTTGCTTAGGACCTTGCTAAATTGCTTAGGTTGGCCATGAACTTGCACTCCTCCTGCCTCAGCTTCCCCCAGTCACTGGGATTATAGGTGTATACCACCAATACTAGCTGGGCCAATTATTACATTTATTTTCTGGATCTTGTGGCTTTGTATGCCTCATGTATTCATTCATCACTTAATTAGTATGTATTTGTGCCTGCTGTCTGCCTAGTACTATACAAGGGACTAGGGATAACTGAAATAAAAAACAAATTTGCCCTCAAATTGCCCACGTTTAACTTCTCTCTTTATGTTGTGTGGTAGGTCCCGGGAGCACAGAAGAACATTTCACACCATCTGGGTTTGGGGCACAAACAGTCTGGAGAAAAACTGGGGGGATTGATATTTAAAATTGAATATAAATTGGCCAGTTAAGGCAGTGGAGATGGTTTAACAGAGGAAATAGCAGTCTAAAAAAAAAAAAAAAAGACCTTAGGAACCAAGACGGTTTGACAAACCACAAGTAGTTTAGTAGGACTAGATTATATGACACATAGGTGATATTGGTGATAAGACAGTGAGAGGTAGATGGAGAACTGATGGTGGAGAAAGGTCTTTTATGGAGTCGGAATGGTTAAGACTTTTTTTTTTTTTTT